GCATTCAGAGTTCCACCATGGCACACGCCATTTTCCAGGGTGTCTATTTGTTTGTGGGATGCATTTTGTTGCAGCATCAATCAAAAACGCTGTGAAGTAGTCGACAGCAACATCAATGTTCAGAGTACATATGTCATTCCAACCTAGACGAGCGATGGTATAAAACTGTTCCCAGTCAGCTCTGTTTATGAGCCACTTGGGAACACGGGGTGGACACTCAGTTGCTGTAGTTGTGCTCAACACTACGGGGAAGTGGTCACTTCCGTACAGATTACTGAGAACATTCCACTGGAGTAGAGGCACAAGAGATGGAGATACTATGCTTAGGTCTATGGAGGAGTAGGTGTTATGTGCGAGATTATAATAGGTTGGCTCTTTTCTATTTAGGAGACATGCGCTCGATGAGAGAACGAACTGTTCAATCAGTCGACCTCGCGCGTCGCAACGAGAGTCTCCCCATAGCCTGCTATGCGCATTGAAGTCTCCAAGGAGAACATAGGGCTCCGGAAGTTCATCAATTAAAGAGTATAAATCACGTTTTTGCAGCTGATAGCTAGGAGGAATGTAAATACTGCAGATTGTGATCAGTTTATCAAAAAGAACCGTTCGAACAGCCACTGCCTCAAGGGATGTTTGGAGTTGTAAGTGTGTGCATGCAATTCCTTGATTTACTATGATGGCAACACCTCCGGATGATGTCATGGCATCATCACGGTCCTTTCGAAAAATAACGTATATACGAAGAAAATTTGTGTGTTTTGAATTAAGGTGTGTTTCTTGTACACACAGCACTTTTGGTGGGTGTTCGTGTAAGAGTTCTTGGATGTCGTCAAGGTTCCTGAGAAGGCCGCTGACGTTCCATTGTATAATTTGAGTGTTCATGGTGAATGTAAAATAGTGCTGTGTGTACGAAAAGCGAGTGGCTGTTTAGACGGGGAATTTGAGTTCACTTAACAGGGCCGTCACCGGGCCCTGTTATTTGCTTTTTTGTTTTCTTGGCGCGCTCCAAGGAGCCTCGCCGCTCTTTCGGCACCAGGGATACCGACGTATCCATTGCCTCCTCGGAGCCACTGGATGCCCGCACATGCGGGCTGTTAGTTCGGATTACGGGCCTCGCCTGGTGAGGGGAGGCCTTGAGACCCGAGGACTCTGGAGTCTCCGGTCTCTGTTTGGGAGTAGGCAATGTAGCCTGGGCTACAGCCGCCTTGGGGGCAGGTGCCACAACCGTCGGCTCTGTATGCGCGGGCCGAAGGAGTGGCGAAGGCTGGTGCGGCGGTGCCCCCTGACGCGCCGCATCAGCGTATGTAGGTCCATAGAATGGAGCGACTCTTCGCCGTGCTTCCTTAAATGCTATGTTCTCCTTTACCTTTAATGTAATTATTTCTTTTTCTTTTTTCCAATATGTGCAGGAGCGTGAATATGCGGCATGGTTTCCTTCGCAGTTTGCACAGTGTGGCGGTTGTTTGCAGTTCTCAGACACGTGGCCTAGGACTCCACATTGTGCACAGGTCTGGCGACCACGACAGGTTTTAGAGCCATGGCCATACCTCTGGCATTGGAAGCAACGACGAGGGTTTGGTATATACGGCCCGATAGATGTCTTGGTGTACCCTGTTTGAATAGAATCTGTTAGTTTACTGGATGCAAACGTGAGTATTAAGTGTTTCGTCGGTATTTCCTTATTATCTCTTCTGATGATAATTCTCTGTACATTAGTGACGTTTTGGCTCTTCCACCCTTCCAAAAGTTCAGTTTCGGTGAGTTCAAGTAAGTCTGCATCAGATACCACTCCGCGAGTGATGTTCATGGATCTGTGTAGTGTTACGGTGATCGGTACGTCACCAAACGTTGAGAGGCTGTCTAGCTTTACAAATTGTGCTTTGTCCCGAATTTCGAGGAGAGGATCTCCGCTAGCCATTTTCGTTACTTTGTATCCAGCCCCGAGAGTTTCAGTAAGACACCTGGCAACTACGAAAGGAGATACGGTCCTGGCTTGCTTTCCGGTTTTTTCACAGTGAATGACGTGGTAGTGGGGAAAAGTTTCTATTGGCTGGTTGAAGAAATTTATGACGTCGGTGCGTACCCGCTTTAGGCCGGTACGATCAGACAGTTGAGAGAATGCTCCATGCATGCCGGTCTTATTTTTGTTCAGCAGCGTTGGTGGCCACCCACCACGGAGCCCAACAAGGGGACGCTTCAAGTTTGCAGGTGCTGAAAGCTTGCAGACGTCAGCCGTACAACACTGCCATAACCCAATGCGCCTAGACCAAGGTAGGCTATTTGCACAGGGTTAACCCTTGCCGCCAGGAAAATTGGAAGTAAACAGAAGAGAGAAGTAGACAGGAAAGCTAAAAAAGTAAGAAAGACGAAGATGTAGGGAGAGAGAGATAGGAAAAGGCGACTGCCGATTTCTCCTGGGTGGGTCAGCCCAGGGGTGCTGTCTACGTAAAGCCGGGGCCAAAGGGGTGTGTTGCCTCTGCTGGGGGGCCTTAAAGGTCCAATCACCCAGCGTCAGCTCAACCCCCAGGATCCCCTTTTCCCCGGGCACGGCAAAGCCACGCACGGCTAGGCGTGGGAGGGAGTAGAAACTCCCCCGTTAGCTCGGGTCCGTGGTGTCGCTACACACCAAACGCCTACTTGCGCAGGCGCCCCTGCGGGGCCTTTAGGAGCATTTACAGCAAGTGACTACAAACACAGATGTGCTTCGAATTACCAAAGAGCCCTTCTGGATGAATATCCATGAATAACATACATTAGAGGAAAAGTGTCAATGCGTTCCAATTGCTAACGTGTTTTTCTGAGGACGCAAAGCACAGAAAATTATATTGATATGTTCACAAATAGACGCGACAGATATTCTGGTGGCACACATGCAGTTATAGGTGAAAATTGCTTTAATTACGTGCAGTGTGACTCTTCAAGCAAGCCATGAGCAGCGTTCCTGGACCGGATGACGTCTGCCGAAGAATTGCCTTCGTCAGTTAGTTACACGCTACCGATTAGGCTAGACATCACGAGCCCCTGCAGAGAGTGCGTTTTGCCATTTAGCCGACTTGCACAACAGTTGTGTCGGCACTGAGCACAGCATCGTGGATTACTTGAGACGCACACATGACTGCTGTTTATTTAACTAAATATGATTGATCGATATGTGGGGTTTCACGTCCCAAAACCACCCTACAATTATGAGAGATTCCGTAGTGGAAGGCTCCGGAAATTTCGACCACCTGGGGTTCCGTTCTTTTAACATGCTGAATAGTTCTAGGTATGTGGTTGTGACTATGGCCTCGAAAGCAAGCTGCAGATGTTTTCACGCACCGACATCGCTATTGCTGGTAATAGATACTCAAAAATATGATTTGGCAGAATTCGGTGTGGTTGGCACAAGCGTGGAATCACTGGTACTGCACACTTTAGTCTTGAACTTAGTTACAGTGCAACACTACAGCACTGTAGCAAGCTACAGAAGAGAAGCGCATGCCAGCTACCATGCCAAAAAATAGTGATGATGGAAATTTTCTCATTTGACTTGCTGAAATAAATGATGCCCTAATTATCATGAGACTCAAACAGTTGGGGGATGTCTTAAGTAAATTAAATTAATTGATCACTTTGCAGGAACATAGTTTCTTCTTTGTATTTCTTATACAGTACTGCTTTTTCAGCAAGCTTGTTTTCCAAGGTAAGTATGGTCCAACGCATGTAGTGGGTCAGTGTGCAGCTGGGAAACAGCTGTTTAGTTCTACAAGAAATATACACTCGTACTACAACACTAGAATGTGCTAGAACACTAGAACCATCGCAATGTTCTTTCATGTATTTGTTTTGTAAAAGCTCACCCGAGCGAGCGAAACCGAAATTGGCCAAAAGCTGCCGTACTATACTTGCGGATGCCCTGCCTCAGTAGCCTCTGCTCTGCTGACAAGATAAGTTGTCACCAAGTATAGAAAATGAACAACACTGCACTGACTCCCGGCTGATATTTCATTGAAAAAATGTGGAACCAAGTACAAAAACACACATAAAGGTAGCTTTGTCAAAGTTACACACAATCCAGTTTGGCAAGGGCAACTGGCTACTCGCTGATGCCAGTCTTGTTCCTGCTCTTGCGAGTTGGTTCGCATGTTTAAAACGATGGTGGTTTTCTCAGAAATGGGATGACAACCACATTACCAGCAATGTTTTGGCAAGTGAAGCCCCATGACATGATTGCTCCTACTCTTCTAGGTGAAGACTGACACACATAGAAGTGTGGCAGTTTGGGCTAGTTGGTATGACATGACGATAGTTATAGCACGAGAACAGAACGACGACAACGAGACAAAAAGGACACAAGCGCTTGTGTCCTTCTTGTCTCTTTGTCGTCGTTCTAGTCTTGCGCTATAACTATCGTTATTGACACAGAGTTTTGTTTGCCCTTTGTACGCTCTACCACAAGATGATGGAAGACGTAACACACGTGACATACCTGTGCTCTTATGATTATGCACATAAGTGGCATAAGCACTTGCAATTCTTCTGCAGGGGGAGGCCCTTGACCAGACAACGCCAGAAAAAAGGAGAAAGAAAGGAACTTTAAGACCACGCAAAAGACAGCAGTGTCCATGGAAGCCTTGCATAAAACAAGCCTGAAAAGTGTGTCAGTGAGGTGACTTTACGCTTGTACAAGAGCTTGACTTCCTTGGTTGTTGATGTAGGGCCGTGGATTGCTGTAGCCCTTGTGCTTGAGAACAAATCGGCTCTGAGCTTGTACTGTTTCTACGCGTAGTTTCACGTCTTTAACAGTGAAGCTGTTCTTGGCCCCTGTTGTAGATCGTCCTGAGATTCACCCACAGAAGGTGGGCAAATCCCACTACTTCACTCAATCCACTTCATTCATCCCAACTGCATGTCATCAGCTTCACTGTTTCATCACTGTACACCAAGCGAAGCTGGCCGAATTCTTTGCATTTACCAAGCCCTGGCAAGTTGCTGCAATTCGAGAAGCTTGAGATGCTCACCGTTTGGCCTGTGTGGCCGACTGCTGCCGCAGAGCAGTGGTGGTCACTTCCTCCGAGATCTGGTTCAGTGGCGAGTTGGGCTTCACCCGGATGCCGTAGTAGTGGTACTTGGAGTTGCCCCTGCACCAAGAGACATGCAACAACACAGGGACGTCACACTCGGCTGTTGAGCGAAATCATTCTTGTGCATCAGGGCATGCAAGCACCCCTCTGAACAATATCACACAAAAGCACCGTTTCCTTGTGCATTGAACGAGTATGTTGAATGAAGCCTGGCCACCTTTTCTGTGACTGGCAGACAGTGAAGTGCCAAACCAGTGCACACAACGCGTAGCAACAAAAGTAGCTGGGAGGCAAAAAGTCGAGGGCAATCACCGGAAGAAAAAGAAAAGAGGAGATAAAAAGACGCTGGCAGGAATGAGGAAAAGGGCACGTGCTACCTCAGCCTTCCAGGGCGGGAAAAGGGACTGGTCGCAAATCTCCCCAGTGGCTGTGCCCTTAAGTGCTTGAACATATTCAAACACAGCGCAACAACGAAATACATACTAAGAAAAAAGCGGACAAACCACAACACTCACTTGCAACCAAAGGTTTAGTGAAATCACACGAGAGAAAAAAGGACTAATATTCCCCTCACATAATCACGTGAGCTCATTAAAGCAAGAAACAAGACAAAAAGAGGGCGGGGACCGGCTAGCCGATTTGCATCTTGAACACAATAAAAAAAAAACTGAAATACAGATCACACGTACTCTTGATGACAACAAATGTTAAGATATTGTGCTATCTAAAAAATTAACTAGCTATCATGTGGAGTAATAGACGGTACGCTGATACATTGTTCACCCCTTTTTTCTCAATTACTTCTTTTGTGGTTTGATCTCGAAGTGTCAACAGCACCTCAGCGTCGTGGAACGTAGTTTAACAATGTCACAGTGCCCCATGTTGGGACACGCCAGCATGTTCCATGGACAACACCGGCTAGAGTCACTCTTCGCACTCTTATAATTCTCATACCCCCCACATCACAAATACAATTTTCTTTTCTGCAAGTAATTATCACACTCCCAAAAATTGCAGCAGTTTGTGTACTACATAAGCTTGGGGGATGCAAAAGACAAAACATTTCATTCCAGTGACACTACAAAGCTCAATATATATAGTACATAAAAAAGTGGGAATTTTTATACAAAAAATTACACCCCATCATGGGCACTATACATAAATGCTTGCAAAGACAGGCATGTTCATTATATTACACAATATCATAGAAAGTTATGTTTTTCAGGTTTAAGTGATATGGAAGTCTATAATGTAACACCTGGTAAGTACAATTTGATCTCTACCTATGTACTTGCCATATTTCAGAGCTTCTTGTTCTGATTATTTTATGCTTCCACGTTAAATTGTAAATATATTTTAGGGTGCTGCTGTTTTTTAATACTGTTCTTATAATTTCTTACAGGACTCGATGGCATTTAGAATGCAATGTACGGCTTTTTTCTGCATTCCATGAGGAGTATTAGAGCCTCCATGCATTGTGCTTTCGGCATCTGCAGCCATTTTCCCGACAATGGCAGTTGTTCAGGTGCATCTGCACCGCTTGGCACGCTTGCACTTTGGAAGCATTTTCCAAAACGATGGTCCCGCATGATCACTTATGGTCAGCGGCAAGTTGTGCTCCCCAGGGAATCCTTAAAAGTACTTGTTGCTGGGCTAGTTGGTTCGTCATACTGAGGGAAACTTATAGACGCCTAAAAACACCACAAGAGAAAAGACAGCGTCACTCTGCGCTGATTGCACTGTCTTCACAGCTCCTTTGGTAGAAATGTCGTCCTGTCCTTCTGCAGCATGAACATACTTAATTACAGCGCAATACTAGAAACACAGGACAGGGAAGGAGCAAAAAAGAAAAGAAAAGACAGCGTCATTTTTTTTCTTTTCTCTTCTGATCTTTTCCTGTCCTATGTTTCTAGTGTTGCGCTGTAAACAAGTTCTCGATGGATCCCAACCAACTGGCCCAGCTTACCATCTTACTGAACGAACATACTTCTGACTCTTCTGTGAAGCGATATGTCGGCCTTGTCACTGTGTAAACGCTTTCATCACAGGCGCTCGTGGTATCAGAATCCATACTTGCTAGCTTTCCACAAAGTCACATAGCACAGAACTCAGTTGTGTGAGAGTCCAAGAACACTTTTTTTTAATTTATTAATACTGTCAACCCTCGCTTGAGGGTCATAACAGGGAGGGAGTACAATAGTACGTAACAACAGAAAACCAAAACAACTGGCACTCAAATAGCAATGAACACAAGAAACCAAAATTGGCATTAGTTCAATTCAACCATGACCAAAGCAAGCATCAATTTTTCTGTCAGAAGATTGCACATCGGTGTATCAGGCATGCGCTCTCTGCACTGCCTGCCTTATAACGATAGCACTGCTATCACACATTTGACAATAAACTCTGAGGGCAGTCTTGTTCCTGCCATCGTGTAGTTGCCTCGATCCTTAATTGACCAGCATTGAAAACAGTACGTGGGGTCAGAAGTGGTCACTTCGGGACAAAGCTTCATCTCGGTCTCCGCGGAACCCCATCGATGGAAGTACTCAAGGCACCATCACGCCTGCAGCTGACCGGCAACCTCTCCGAGCAATGAAAACGCCCAAGATGGCAACAACTCCGAGCAGAAGCGCCCAAGATGGCAACAAGCAGTACCGCTGCACAAAGTGCGATCGGCGACACAGACCAAGGCAGTGTCCTGCGTATGGCAAGAAATGCAACATATGCCACCTGCCCAATCATTTTGCCGTGTGTTGTCAATGGGTGTCCGAAATTACTGAGGTCAGAAAAAACGACTGCGATGATGACTTCGACGTCCTGGAAGTGGGCGTTGGCAATAGAAAAGCCAGAGACAGGATAGTGGGAGCTGAGGTCGCGGGCAAGAAAGTCTCCTTCAAGGTTGACACAGGGTCACAGGCCAGCCTGTTACCATTTTCGGCGTACCAGAAAATACGTACTGCGGGACCCTTGACTGCTGCTACCTCAGTGCTACGGGCCTACAACGGAGGCGTCATAACACACTACAGAGCGACGCTGCAGAAAATAAAAGTAGGAAATGCTTGCAGCACAGTGCAGTTCTTTGTCGTCAAGCATGGCAATCAGGCAATACTAGGACTGGACGCGAGTGAAGCCTTAGGCTTTTTTAAACGCACCGTAACTACCGTAAGCGACTCAATAGACTACGAAGCCGTGACGAATTTCCAGCACCTCTTCCAGGGACTAGGCTGCTTGAAGCAACCATACAGCATGATCCTGCAACCAACAGCGGTTCCTGTCGTTCAACCAGCGCGGCGTATTCCCTTGTCCCTGCACGGCCCTCTTCAAGATGAACTACGAAGGCTGGAGCGCGAGGGCATCATCGTAAAAGAGAACGAAAAAGGATGGCAGAATTAGAATTTGCATTGATCCCAGAAAAATCAACGAGCACATAAAAAGAGAGCACTTCTAGCTCCCAAGGCGTGAAGATATGGAAGGGGAATTGGCCGGCGCCACAATATTTAGCTGCTTGGATGCATATTCCGGCTTTCACCAGGTCCCACTTGACGAACAGACGTCCAAAATTTGCACTTTCTCAACTCCTTTCGGCAGGTACCGCTACCTTCGATTGCCCTTCGGCATTTCTTCAGCGCCTGAAATTTTTCAAAGAACAATGAGTCAAGTATTTGAGGGCTTTACAGGTGTACACGTGTACATAGACGATATTTTGGTGTGGGGAGCAAACAAACAGGAGCATGATCGCAGACTAATTGCTGTCTTGAAAGCAGCCGAAAAAGTTGGTTTTACGTTCAACGCTAGAAAACGCAGGTTTGGTGTTACGGAAATTCAATTTCTTGGCGAGATCGTCGGACGTGAAGGCATTTCGCCAGACCCAACACTTGTGAAAAGCCTGCTTGAAATGACAGAGCCAAAGAACAAAAATGATGTTCAGCGCATGCTCGGTGTGCTCAACTACTTCGCCAAGTATGTGCCGCGCCTTTCTGAGCGAACTGCGCTTCTCCGGGCGCTTATCAAAGCGCACTCAGCATTTGAGTGGACTGAGAACCACAGAAGAGAGTGAAAATGTATCACACAGGCTCTAACCATGACACCTGTCCTCGCTATCTTTGATCCCCAAGGACAGTCCAAAATAACATGCGATTCATTAAAAGACGGCATGGGTGCAGCACTTTTGCAGTGCTACGATGGTGATGAGTGGCGTCCAGTGGCATACGCTTCCCGTGCTCTAACGCAAGCTGAGCAGTGCTATGCGCAGATTGAGAAGGAGACGCTCAGAATTTCGTTCGGCTGTGACAAGTTTCACCACTTCGTGTACGGGCACAAAGTTTTGATTGAGACTGACCATAAACCGCTCTTATCTATTGCTGCGAAGGATATCTGTGACATGCCTCCCTGCCTTCAGAGATTTTTTCTAAGGCTTCTGAAATATGATTTCTGTTTGCAGTTCGTACCGGGCAAACATCTCGTCTTGGCCGACATGCTGTCAAGATCATGCCCAGCTAGTTCTGAGGACAGCCCTGGAGCCGTGGGCGACGTGGAGGTGCACGCAGTGCAAGTTCTGGGCTATTTGGTCACAGATGCAAGGCGACGGAAGCTGGAGCAAGAAACTGCGAATGATGGTTACCTGAGCACTGTCATCTCCAGCTTGTCAAGCGGTGAGAACCTGCAGGGTGAACTGAAGCCGTTTTTGTCAGAGCTTTCTGTCGTGAAGGGCGTATTGCTAAAAGGAACGAAAGTGGTCATACCAAAAAGCATGCGACTTGAAATTCTTGGACGTATTCATTCTGGGCACCTAGGATTGCAGAAATGCAAAGAAAGAGCACGACATCTGGCTTTTTGGCCTGGGCTCAGCAATGACATCACACTGCTGATTCAGAGCTGCCCTACTTGTTGCAAGTTTTCTTATAAGCAACCGAAAGAACCATTTCTCATGCGCCCAGTACCAGTATGCACATGGATTCGTGTGGGCGTGGACATTGTTTCGTTTGAAGGAAGTTCGTACGTCGTCGCGTTCGACGCGTTTTCAAACTTCCCAGAAGTACAGAAGCTCCATGACA